CTGGTCTATATTTCTCCAATTGGATTTTTTGTAATCCTTTGGCAAGCTTTTTCTATGAAGGTGTTAGGATGAGGTATATTTGATGGACATAATTTTATATACTTGGGAATATACAAGAAAGTATGAAACAATGGGTTACTATGATGAGGCTAGGCACAACAGGTCTCACATGTTAATGATTACTGTGATAGAATGGTGAAGATCTTTTTATCAAAGGTTTATATTAGCTTAAAGAGTTAAACACAAAAAATTTCACATGTTCAGTGTTACTGTTACTGTTACCCTGATTGTAGTTAGGGAGTTTCAGCCTTTACAGTATTACTGCATTTAGTATTTAAAGGTAGCTTGATCTGTTACTAACAAATAGTTGAACTAATGGCGTTAATCTTACAGATTATGTGCTGGAAGGTAGTGATGGAACACCTTTCGCAGGTGATAATATTCTGTCTGAAGTTTCTTGTTCGTTTTGTCTTCTGCATCCCTTAGGAGTATCTAATTTTGATACTTGAATTCTATTTTACAGGTGGATATTACTATGGAAAGATCAAGTTCCCTCCAGAGTATCCTTACAAGCCACCTGGAATTACGTATGTTCTTTGGTTCTTCAGAATTTGGTCTCAACATTACTCTTATTGCAGTTTTTTAGTCCAGTTTCCAATGAACCACATCTTGTGTTTGTTTGCCTCAGAATGACTACACCAAATGGTCGATTCATGACACAAAAGAAACTCTGTCTGTCTATGAGTGATTGTAAGCTCAATGGTGCACTTTGTATTTGTTGATTCGTTTCAATTAACTGCTTCATATATCTAAATAACTCTACATGACATTTTCAGTTCATCCAGAAACCTGGAATCCGATGTGGTCTGTGTCAAGGTATAATCTATCCTTTTGACATATACTACTATTGACTTCCATAGTGTTCATATTTGTTTTTGACAGACGAAAATGGATATACCAGTAGTTAACCAGTTTTTTCTTCCTGAATGCAGCATACTTACAGGACTTCTCTCATTTATGGTAAGCTCATTGTAGGCTCTACAGTTTTTTTTTTTTAATCTTTTCCCGAAGGGCATTTTCAGATATATGGACAATTTGTTTGAAAAATCTCACATTCTTATATTGTAATAGTACCTACTAGATAAGATCTGATCATTCAACATGGTAAGATCTTTTATCTCTGTTACTGAGCTTTCTCCATACGTTTAACTTGATGCGCAGATGGATAACAGCCCGACAACCGGAAGTGTGAACACTACTGTAGCTGAGAAACAACGGTTGGCTAAGTCATCTCTCGCTTTCAATTGTAAAACGTAAGATCATCCCACCATAAAAATCTTTCGGATTCTGGATTAATGTTGAAGTGAACTTTAGTTATTTATATTTAGAATAGTCATGAAAGCTGATTAGAGAACGATACAGGAGAGAATGCTCAATCATAAGCTTTACATGTTTTCAGTGTTTTCACCTAAATCCAATGTTCTTACTCGCTACAGCCCAGCGTTCCGGAAGCTATTCCCAGAGTATGTGGAGAAGTACAACCAGCAGCAACTAGCTGAGCAAGCTGGCACGCAACAGACGACACCAGAGTCTCCTCAAAAGAACAATACCGAAGCCGAGTCAGAGAATACCGTCGACCCAGCAAAGGAAAACTCAGAGGATGGCTTGAAGGAGAGGAGGAAGAACAAGAAACAGGGATTGCCGGCATGGATTATACTGTTGCTAGTGTCGGTTTTCGGGGTTGTAATGGCGTTGCCGTTGCTTCAACTGTGATTTCTATGCAACAAAAACGCAACTTGGACGACTCTTGCGATAAAATCTCTCCTTCTCTCGCTTCAGTATCAAAGGGTAGTCTTCTTTCGTCTAGTGCTCTTCTTCTGAATATACTCGATTTAGCCCCCTCATGGCTTGTGCTTTTAAAAGCCAGATATAACATAAGTTTGGTTTTTCACATTTATATATATACATATATTTTTAGCTTTGTTGAAACTACTTTGTATAGTATCTGTTGCTAATCGTTGGTGTTGCATTTGATAAATAGAATCCTATGGTTTGCAATTGTACTAATCGGGAAACTTGAGAAAAAAAGATCCGAGCTCTTATATAGCTATGGTCTAATAAAACTTTGAGTGAACAAAAAAGAAAAAAGTGGTTTAAACCATTTGATTTGTTAGCTAAACAGGTCTTGATCCAGTGATTATGGTTGCTTAAATTTATTTATTTAAAAATTCGGAGACATCCAATAATTATTTTTTTCCGGGAATTTGGAGCTCCGAGAAGAAATCGCACTGTTTGATCTAGTGATTTCTAGATCTATCTCTCCCGGCGATGGAGCACAACTCGTCGGACGACGAAGAGGACCACCGGAATTTGATCCCGCAGAACGACATCAGAGACACCGATCTCAACCGCCGCCGGGAAGATGACCTTCACTCAGTCACCACCACCAGAGCCGTAAATAGAGCAAACGGCGGTGGCAGGAGTCCTAGATCGACGTTCCGGATCGAGGAAATCGTGTCGCGAGGCCGGAAAATCTCACTCGACAAGCGTTACGTCGTTGCTGCAGTCTCTCTAACTCTGCTCATCGGGTTTTTCTTCTTATTTACCGATACTCGTGGTTTCTTCTCGGCGGATCTCTCGAGCTTTAAGCTTGATCCAATGTCGAGTCGGATCAAGGAATCTGAGCTCCATGCTCTGTATCTTCTGAGGCAGCAACAGTTGGCGCTTGTCTCTCTCTTGAATCAGTCCCTTAACCAAACATCGAATTTCAGTTCTTCTTCGAATGCAATTGGTTCTTCTGTACTCATAGATGATGTGAAATCTGCTCTAGCGAAGCAGATCTCACTGAATAAGGAAATCGAAGAGGTGCTTCTATCACCACACAAAACCGGGAATTACTCAGTCACTGGTCCTGGTTCAGATAGTATCACTGGTTCTTACTACTCTTATGACAGATGTAGAAAGGTAGATCAGAAGTTGTTGGAGCGGAAAACGATCGAATGGAAACCTAGACCAGACAAATTCCTTTTTGCTATCTGTCTCTCAGGCCAAATGAGCAACCATTTGATTTGCTTGGAGAAACATATGTTCTTCGCTGCGCTGCTGGATCGAGTTCTGGTGATCCCTAGCCCTAAGTTTGATTACCAGTATGATAGAGTGATAGATATAGAGCGGATTAACACTTGCTTGGGAAGAAGTGTTGTCATTTCTTTTGATCAGTTCAAGGAGATTGATAAGAAGAAAAATGCTCACATTGACAGGTTTATCTGTTACTTCTCGTCGCCACAACTTTGTTATGTGGACGAGGAGCATATCAAGAAGCTGAAGGGATTGGGGATTTCCATTGGTGGGAAGCTTGAGGCTCCTTGGAGTGAAGATATAAAGAAGCCAAGTAAGAGAACTTTTCAAGAGGTACAGGAAAAGTTTAAGTCTGACGATGGTGTGATCGCCATAGGGGATGTATTCTATGCTGATATGGAGCAAGATTGGGTTATGCAGCCTGGTGGACCCATCATGCACAAATGCAAGACACTGATCGAACCCAGTAGGCTCATTTTGTTGACAGCACAACGATTCATCCAGACATTTTTGGGAAAGAATTTCATTGCGCTTCATCTTCGTAGACATGGGTTCCTCAAGTTCTGGTGAGTTTTCTTTTGCATCTCTCTCTTTTTAGGGTAGGTAACCTTGTTATTGTTGCCGTTATATGTCTTGATAGTGGAGCTCACACTCAATTGATTGCGAATTCCGAACACCACTCCGTTCTGGTTTGTGAATTAGTATATATCTCCTTCCAGCAGTTTGACATATACTTCACTTAGGCACTTCTGTATAGCAATAAAATAGCAATACAATACTCTGCTGATGTTAATGTTCAAGCTAGGGGCTAGGTTAGGTTAGGTTTTTTAACAAAAGTGTGTCTCATTTATACTAATGAAATGATTTCTGGCCAGCAATGCAAAATCGCCAAGTTGCTTTTATCCAATACCACAAGCTGCAGACTGCATCAGTCGGATAGTGGAAAGGGCCAATGCTCCGGTCATCTATCTTTCAACAGATGCTGCTGAAAGTGAAACCGGTCTGCTTCAGTCACTAGTAGTCGTTGATGGAAAAGTCGTTCCCCTTGTCAAACGTCCACCTCGCAACTCTGCGGAAAAGTGGGACTCGTTGTTGTATAGACATGGCATAGAAGATGACTCTCAGGTAACTAATGCCACTTTGTTCTCTAGAAATCACCCGATCTCCACTGTGTTCTTTAACAGAAATAAAATCTAATGGACTATGTCTTGCGCAAGTGTTTATTTTGGTCTGAGAAAATTCCTTAGAGACTCATTGTTCCCATCTTCTATGACAAGACTCTCTCTCCCATTCACTTGCTTGTGGTTGGTTTTTGGAATGCGTAGGTGGATGCTATGTTAGATAAGACCATATGTGCAATGTCAAGTGTCTTTATCGGAGCATCGGGCTCTACTTTTACAGAGGATATCTTGCGGCTACGAAAAGACTGGGGAACTTCATCTATGTGCGATGAATATCTCTGTCGAGGCGAAGAACCAAACTTCATAGCTGAAGATGAGTAAAAAAGTAAACACATTCGTCAACTTGTTGATTGTTTATGTTTCCACAGTTACGCATTCTTACTTGTATTATATAAATGTGCCTTTAGTGTCGAATTCTTTATATTCTTTTCAGATGATTTTGTGATCGCAAAATAGAGTTCCTTCCTTGAAAATTATCTGTTCTATCGGAACAGCTTAATTGCTTATGAATCAAGTACCACAAAATGTTGATTGGAACATGGAACGTGGACTAAATTTTGAAAGAATTGAATAGAAGTACATTACAGACTACAGATAATATAAATGCTCTAGTTTTTGGTTGTTTACATCCCCCCGAGGAACCCAAGATTGTTCGATCTCTCTTTCTGTAAATCAAGAGAGTGTTTTAGACGGTATGAGCTGCACGTATCATCTTTGGGTCAATTTGTTTGAGCTTCATCACTGATTCTAAATGCCTTGACACCGAATGTACCTCTACGAGCCTACCAGATAATGCAAAAATATAGTTAATTTGATGGATCATAGATGGTTCTTGGGTAGTACCGTAGTATAGGAAAAAGAGAACCTAGCGATTTCTGCGCGTCTCCTGGTTTGTTCAGCGATCCAAGAAGCACGAGAACGACTTCCACTAAGTTCTTCTGCAGAACGACTTCTCTGAGAGATGGTTACATTGGCCGTTCCATCATCTTTCCCATAATCTTTCTTATAAGTAAAAGCTGTCTGCAAGACAAAACCAATAATCTCGTCTTTAAGAGAAACAGAGTCTAATTCTGAAACTGAGTAACAAGCAGAAGACAAAACATGCACACCTACCTTACGGTCCAATACGAGGTTCCAAGCCTTTCCACTCATTGCGTAGTGAAAGACAAATTTTATAATATCTAGAGGTATGTAAAATATCAGACTGTATAACCATATAACACCTGCCCATCCCCATCCAATGCCAGTGATGTTAGCAAAGCTAATATTGGCATAGACTGCAATTAATGTAGCTGCCTGTGTACATGAAATGGACAGGTCAAAATTAATGTATGCTATAACAATATAGCATTCTGTGATGGAAAAGTTGGAAGGATGGAGAATTCTTACAAGCTGAGCAACAATGAAGGCGAAAATCAGGAGAGTCCCAGGACGTTCAAGAAAAGACCAGCTTCGACTACGCGTAACAAATATGAGTGCCTGACTGATGATGCTCACTTGGAGATACACAGCGGATGAGACTTGCTCACTGTTGTTGGCGATTGACTTTACATGGAAGTGTTTCTGCAGCCATTATAGATCCATGGATAACCGGTATGCATTTTTCTCGGTAAGTAAAATCGAACTTACTTTGAGCGATGGGAAGATACCTCGAAGAAGGTGGTAAAGACAATGATCCAGTAGAACAGGATGGTGACCAATGCTAGGTATGTTCCAATGACAATTCCAGTCGCAAATATCTGGCTGAGCTTCCAACTCTCGGGTGTAGGAGATGGCCTAACTCGATCTTTAGAAATAGTCATGATGGTCCCTGATACGTAAGTCATAAACAAGAGCACTTGAAAGTGTTAATGATTAG